AAATAATACCAGTAAGATCATTGTAAAACATTAACATGAAAGATAAATTGACAACGATAAGGCCTAGTCGGGTCAGAGTATACCAAAATAAATAACAAATCAAACAAAATAGATTCGAATTCTTAAACTTATAACGATCTTAATTTATATTGAATCAGACAAAAAATAAAAAGAACCCGGCTTTGGCACTAAATTGAAACATAAAAATGGAAAATAAGATTTTTTAGGAGAGAGGTTTGTCAGCGAAGAGAGGAGCCCGTTGTTAAAAAAATAACCCTTTGAAAATTTTATTTAGGAGATGAATTATGAAACATTTTTATCAGGAAAAAGAACAGCTACAAAAGCAATAGAAAAGAGTGCAAATATACGAAACAGAAGTGGGCGCTGAGCTTACTAGGCGCAAAATGTTTAATGAATCTTAATGTAAAGAACACTCATGCATGGATCAAACTTTATTGACAAAATAATTATTGAAAGGACAAATTATTGAAAAATGCATTATTTATTTTATTTATCAGATAGGGCCCGGCCGTTGAACAACAGAATGTGATAAGCGAGAGTGAATTACCGCGATATTTACCATGATTTTATAGATAAATATCGAACAAATCTCTAATTTTTTGGGCGAAAATACATTTAAAAAAATTTTGTTTGGGGTTCAAAACAGATTATCAAAATCGCATTTTCACTAAAAGATAAAGTGATATTGTTATTGTTTGTTATAAAAAAGTGGAAATCAATCGCTCTTATAGCGTCAAAGAAACCGTCGAAGTAACAAAACAAACAATTTTCGTATAGTTTTATCAAAGTGTTATGATAAGTATTTTATCGTTTAGCATTGTGTGTTGTTATGGAAATGATACTAAAATGAAATTATCAACAATTATTACTATCATTATTATTATTTTTTGGATTCTCATCGATGCTAAGGCATGTATGTCTTGTGAGTAGCCTGTGCGATAAAAAATTAATATGGTCACAACTTAGAAGAGATAAATTAACTTTTACCAGTGGACCAACAAAATGCTCCTACTCTTAAATAAACTTTCGGCCGCGGTTTCACGTTTGGCTGTAAAGAACTCGTCCATATTTCTACAATTTTTTAAACTTAATAAAATACGGTATACCTGTACTGTGCTTTGAACTTCGCAAACGGTGAATATTTTTGATACAGTATTATGAATTGAGTGTATAGCGCCATCATTCGACTGAATCGATCGTAGTTTATGAAATTGAATTTTTCGGCGCGAACTCTCAAGTTTTGTTTGTAACTCAGAGTTGTAACATTCGCAATTTTCAGCAAATTGAGAATTGCGATATTTTCGTCGGTAAAGCTCGGTCCTCAAACAAAATTAATTTACTTTGTTAATTAATTTGGTAATATTAAAACAACATATAGGCCTACTGGGATAAATTATATTTTTCATGTTTTGTACATTTAGAATACAGATAGTCTAGAATATTTTAGAGGGTACATTTATAAATTATTAAGTATAGTTTATTTTTTATTTGAACCAAAATAGTTAATGTTTATATTCATTTTGTGTACGATTTTGTACATTAATTCAGCAAAAATGGGTAACCTCGCATCACTTTCAATAAACCAGCCATTTGGATAAATAAGTAATTAACATAATTAAATCTCTGTATGAAAATGTTTTCTATTCCTAATAATTATTTATCTGTAAGCGATTGTTGTAGTTGTCTAAATATCCATCCCATGATAGTTACAAAAATTGATTAAGTAATTAATTAATTTTCGTAGTTAAATATGTACTGTATAGTGCATTTCCAGGTCGCATTAGCACAGAAATTTTTTTTCTAACATTGACTCGGCGAAAATTACAATATGAACTATTTTTCAGAACAACTTTATGAAATTTAGGATAATTCACTCCGCCATAGCTAAGAGCAAAAGCAGTTGGGATGGTTTGTTTACACAGCAGGTGTATAAACTTTGTGACGTCAATATCGACCTAGTCGCTTCCTTTAACAACAATGTGTTCTCGTGGAACTACTTCCTATCTCTACTGCTAATTAATTCTAATATTCATAATTTTCGCTAGATTTGAAGTGAAGATTATAAATTAATGTTGTTTAAGTCGAACATAGCTATCTCAAAAAATCAAAATGAGGTAATATTTATCTGTAATATTCACGCTCACCGCATGCGGAATAATACTGTAGTTTGTTTATCATTGTGAAACATCCAGTTGTGGTACACAAAGCCTGGAGCTCCAGATAACAAGCGATTGTGCTGAATTTCACCCGAAATTGCTCATTGAATCTCATCTGTTTCAGTAGAAATATTAGGTAAGTAATATTATTATGATATTCTGAATTTATTTCTTTTTCATATTGTCAGATGCATGAGATTGAGGATTTTTGTTTTATGTGGTTGTTGTTATTTGTGGCCCGCAATGGCTTTCACAGAGCCCCGAATAAATAATTTGCATAGGAAATGCGGACCTTGCTTTTGTGAATGCACGCATGCATGGTCGCACGATTATGTGTGGAGATGTCAGCTCGAGTATCTTTTCAGTCTTAATCTATCCGACTGAACTAGTTGGCTAGGGAGGAGTAGGTGTTTAATGAAATGTTAATAGGGCCCCTTTTCCGGTAGAAATCTGTTGATGTATTTGTGTTGATTTCTGCTCCGAACAACTTTATATCGCTTCGTTCCTGTGTTTATCAGAGCTAACTCTTGTTGAGCGAGGGAACTTTATTTACCGGTGTCCACCGCCTTAACTGCCTTTCAAAAAGGGTTGCACCTTAGCCTAGGCCTGGTTTATAACAAAGAAGATAATAGGCCTTTTCAATAGTTACAGGAAGAGAAAGTGTGGTTAAATGGAAGTTCAAATATAAATTAAAGTTTATTATACAATTAACGTTACAATAATAACCAAATAAAAATCTAACACCAGTATTGCCAAGAAGGAGGTCCATCCTCTCACTGTACTGTACTACCACTACTAGCTAGGCCTAGGCCTAAGAAAGTACTTGAAATTTACTGTAGGCCTATAATATGCTACCTATTTGTCTTACGTGGAATAAGGTTATTCATCTGGTAGGTGATGTGATTGGCAGAGTGAATTGCAACTGTAACTACAGATGAATGGTTTGATAAATCCAGGACACCGAATACAAGTACTGTATGTAGGGCATAGGCTTATTGTATGCAATAAACTTTGCATGTCAACCTTTTGCCTTCAAAATGATTTTGTACAAAATTTCAAGGGTACTGGTGATGTTAACTTGGAGAACATTATAAAGGCATGATCCGATAAAATACAAGGTAGCATAAGAAAATATTACTGGCAGTGAACCAGTCTAAATAAAACGACAATGCTGAATATACAGTACGTATGAACTGTGCAAGGAGGTTCACACAATCAGCCTGTGGCCTTCAAAATGATTTTATTTTAAAATTCAAGGTGCTGGCTATGGAAATGTGATGTTTACAAGGGTGGGGGAGGGGGAACACCATAATGTGTGGACTGTAAATTACAGACTATGCTAGGCCTAACAACAAGAAAAATTTATAGAAACTTCACTTCAGAAGTGAAATGGCATTTCAAAGAATTGTCAACGGAAAGGATTAAGATGAAATTTTTATGATTGATATTGGTTTTCTTTCTTTCAGTAATTCATTGATGCACTATTAGTAGAGAAAGATGAAGCATTTTCTCTTGTCAGTTTACATTGCTAACACCAAACGAATGGGCTATAAACAGGGGGCGTAGGTTGGTTTCGGCGTGAGGGAGGGGGTGTGTCCACACATCCTGCATCCCCACAGCTAGTCTATGCCAATGTTAAACTTAAGCCAAGTTTATACTCTCACCTTCTCCATAAAACACATTGTTATTAAGACAGTGAACATATTATTTTTGTAATTACAGTAATATGAAATTAAAATGTACTTTATTAACAGGCATTTTGTATGTTCAAGGTGGGATGGAAAGGTTGGTAATTTGACAATGTCAAAGGTCAATGAAGAATAATTATAGTAATTGTAATTATTATTAGCATTTTGTATAGCATCACTAAATAGAACTTTACTCTATTATACACCATTTTCGCGAAATTTGAAATGAAAATTTCCGATAACCTGGCAACTACCACTGGGAAACCAGAGGCCTACTGTAGCATTTCGCTCTACATACTTACCATCATGGATTAAATCAACGATGAAACTAAATTACTTACGAGTACAAATATTTTAAAATGGAAAAACATGAAATGTTTACATTAAAAACAAGTGCAAGTCTTAGAAAGCTATTTCAATGTTTACATATATACAGTAATTAGCAAGATCGTATCTGTTGTCTTTTGCTGCTATAGCAAAGGTCCAGCGGCGCTATCCATTGCACAGTTCTCTATTCGTAACTAGCCAGCTTCTCAGGCTAGGCTGCTGGAAGTCCCCCAGTGATTTGCGAGACGTTGGCGGTGCTGTTTTAAAATAAATCCCATGAAATGGTCTATAGTGTACAAGTATTGTACTTAAAGCCACTATTTAGTTAGACAGTAAAATAAACCTACAGTAATATGGTTTGTTTTTTTACATTGACCTTTGACATATATGCACTTGAAACCACAAGATGGAATAAATTCTGCCAACTCAGCCTACAGAAGGGTTCAATATCAATTTTAATCCCCAAAAAATATATATGAGGATTCAATGAACATACACAAAAAAAAATAAAATCATAAATTAAAAATTTAAAAAAAATAAAATCTGAACCACTAAAGGCCAAGCAAAAAAAATAAATTAGTTTCTTGTTTCTGTTTAATAATATATCATGAACCTTACTCCACATTGGATTAGATAGATTTTAAAAACATTTGCCAATATTTACAAATGTTAGCTGTGTAGCTACTTAATGTAAATTTTCTCAGGCATATTTACAAATCTTCATCAAGAATATCAAAAATCCCATGATGCAATTGTATTGTTTTAGATGTCTCATCTTTCCATTATCAGTTGTGTGTTATACCACTTGAAGTGACACTTTTTAATCCGTATCATGCGATTCCTTTTTTAAATATTATAGTTGTTTGTTGTTAAATTTTATCGCCATTATCGCCTTTAATTTATTCTTCCAGCAAAAACAAAACTTATGCAATAAATACACTAGTTACCACATAATATACGGTTAAATAACCATGAGAGAGAACTGAGAAAGATCATAAAGTAAAACGGTAATGTCATTTTAATCCATCGTTGCTTGAGGGCGTGCTCTAATACCTCTGATATGAACACAGTTTTACAATAGACAAGACATGCATGTATTTAGATTATTATTAATTATTTACAAACAAAATTTACAAATCAAATTGTATTGGAAATCATACAGAAGAGTGATAAATGAATGAACAGTTTGTATTTTATATAGCATCATGCTGCTATGTAAAATATATAAATGTTCATTGTCACTCTGTATTTAAATTATAAATAATACTAATTTTTTTTTATGTATAATATAAAAAAAATAATTTATCTATAATATAAAAAAAAATAATTTTACTCGAAACATTACAGAAGAGTAAAAATATTAATATTTTAGTCATTCATATTTTTATATAAATTTTCAAAATTTTTAAAATTTAAACTAATTCTATTTGAAACCTTATCTTGCAGAAGAGCAGTGGCAGCTCTAGGATATATTTTCTGGGGTGGGGGGAAGGGCTGAGCTGTCTGACAGGGGGACTTGGGCTCGTAGGCCTGAGCTGGGGGAAGGGTTTGAGAGGGTGTTCCCCCTCCAAAATAAGATTTTTTAAAGAATAGGAACCTCTGGATTGCCAGAAATGACACTCTCTGATTGTGACAAGCATGTGTTGGCTTGGCATGGGCCTATTGTTATATATTTTTTAGTCCGACTACCCTACGATCTCTGTCCGATGGGGGGGGGTCTTGACCTGTCTGGTGGGGGGGGCTTAAGCCCCTGCTGCACCACCTCTCCCCGCTGGCACCGCCACTGCAAAGGAATGAATTATATAAATAGTTCATATTGTAGCTAATACAAACATTTATTTAAAATATAAACAACACATTTTTAACATAAAATTCTACTTGAAACATTACAGTGTTGATATATGAATAGTTTAATTATCATTGTTATGATCTATATTATACTAATATTAACAATATTTAATTTAACACTTCCTAAAGGTAAGGTTTTCCTCCATTTCAAATTAAATTTTTCTTCTCTGGCCATTATGTAATCTCTTGAGATAGCATTTCTATAAATAGGAAAATCCGTTGGTGTACACATCCTGACCTCAACCAGACACACACAATTTGCGACCATAGTCACAATCACATGTTCTTTAGTTAGAACAATATTAGATACAGTGAGCGAAGTACAGGAAAATACATGACTCCTTCTTTCAACTGCAAGGCGATACAATACTTCATTTTATACATTGTTAGCAAACTTTTCTTTCAAAAGGTGTTAAGAGGAGAGAGGAAAAAACAGATTTTATTTTCTTATATTTATCAATTAGTAATCTGCATTACCACAAGTTCATTTAGTAGTTGAGGTTCAGTTACTCCACTGATCCCTTTGTTTTTCTTTTAATTTCTTCGTAAATTTCGGTAGAGAAAATAATATATTTAAAAATTGTTAGTTTTTGAGGTAAAAGAAGTACCGTATTGTGGACACTCTTTATCTCTTGTCAAGATCACACAACATTTTCCTATAAAGTGATGATTTTAAACAGTTGATAAATGTTATAATTTTACTTAATTCTGAGAGAAAAATTAATATTTAACAAGACAGTGAAGATAAAACAAAGAAGATAAACATTTTATTTTGTCATTAATAACTGAAAACTAATTTGTTTTAAATAATCAACTATATAAATGTTATTTTTATTAAATTGTTCATACTGTGGATTGAGTCTGCGGTACTTGCTTTAAATTCTGAAACCTAGACCACCTAGATTCCGAGTGTTGTGACGAGTAATTAAATTAAAGAATGGACCTATTGATTTTGCTTTCAGCATACACAAACATTTTCATAATTTGTCACCAATGCTAACCTGTTCATACACGCAAATTTCTCTAATTGGCCACCGATGAAATTTTTTATATTCAACATGAACCGTTATTTCTGAAAAAAATGGAATCAAATTTTTTCTCACTTGTGTTGATCGTGTTTTTTTTAGCAATTATATTTAAAATGGTTGTGTTTTTCTTTGCATGCAAAAAAGGGGATGGTTACGCCCCTTTTTCCCCCAGTTTTTATATATTCAAAAATCTGTATCTCATTCACCGTTCCCCAGTTTTTCGTCAGACAACTTATTTCTGTCTTAGAAAAATCAGTGCTACAACATATCAAAAATTTTTTTTCCTTTGGAGCCTGACTTTAATACCTTGTCTAGCAAACTTAATTTTTTATTGGAGATAAGGAAAAAACATTTTTTAGCAAAAATGTAATGTTCCTGACCAAAATATACAAATGTGTGTGGTATAAAGTTAATAAAGGGCGCCCTCAGGCCCTTCAGATCCTTTCACATGGTTGGAAAGAATTCAAGTTTAAATGAATTTTATGTATGCAATTGGTTGTGTATAGTAACAGTAAAGTTTATCTTTATCCATACTAATTATTTTTATTATAAATTATGAGTAAGTAATAAAGATTAATTGGGAGATTTGAGGACAAAAGCAATTCAATGAGGTTTTTTTAAAAATAATTATGAAAGTTTATTTCATTATCAGTAAGCGACGGTTTCACAAAACAAGAGCGACCGCTCACTGGTCCACGTTTAAATATGGTACAGGTGCAAGTTACAGTATTAAGATAGAAATTTTTAAATAATTAGGATATTTATTTGTACAAAAAAATTAATTAGAATGTTCATTTGTACAAAATAAAAAATATAAATATCTTAAAATTGAAAAAAAAAAATCTTAAAATTGAAAAAAAAAAAAAAAACCAAGACGCGATCCGGACTCCCAGCCTTAAGTTCTGTAGAACACATCCTTAACCGACCGCGCCATCCATACGATATGACCTATTAGTGGTAATGGCAGTAATGTACTGTCCTTGCTGAAACTCCTATTTTTTTTTTTGTAGGTGTAGGGGGAACCCTGGGGTCCAACTTAAGGAAAGGGCGATGAACGTTTGTTGGAAGTCAGTCTAGTGTACAAAATTTCCTGGTGAGGAGAACAAAAACAGCTCAACAGGAACAGCAGTGAGGCTCTGGGGTTAGCACCATGTGCGGACCCAACAAGTACTGTAGTAGAAAACATTTTCCTTTAAAATGCTTGATGTGGATATTTCTTAATCTTTGAAAACGATCAAAGCCTGATGCACTAATTTAAAGATAAATAACGCAAGATGACGAAGCTCGTGCATCAGGCGGTAATGCGTCGTCAGACGCTTGCATGGCGTGTGGAGCGATTTTGTCAGCTTACAGTCGTGTGACCATGAAGCAAACCAAGAATTATCCTAAATCTATTCTGCCTTCAAGACAGAGCCAACACTACCAAACTGTTGGCCATTTGTGTAAGCAGAGGCATGATACAGAGGTGCAGAATAAGCACTTGCACAGGGCACTGAACTGAGCATGGGCGTGGTGGGGGTGGGGCAACATAACAACAAACATCATTATGCTACATGTAGGCCTGACCTCAAAGATGTATTGTCCCTTGAAAATGACAAAAAGTCATAAAAAATAATTTTGAAATTAACTTGCTCATTTTGCAGTTGCATACAGATTATTAAACTTGAACATAGAAATTATTTAATTAAAAAAATGTGTATCCTGATTTTTAAACTGGATAATTACAATGGAGATAATAAAATACATCTTCTTTTCGTTGTAAAATGACGGGTAAACTTTTTTTAACATACTAATTTCTATGTTCAAGTTGATAATTTTTATTTTACTTCAAAATGGGCAAGTTAATTTCAAAATGATTTTTTATGATTTTGGTATTTTCCAAGGGACAATACATATTTGAGAGAAATTAACATACATTCACAACAATGTAGAGTATATGGGCCTATGTGATCAAAATTTAATTTATGTGAAGTGATATTAAAAATAAATGGTCTTAATTACTGTATACCTTTGAAATTTGGCAAGCTTATGTTTTGTTTAAAATATTATGTGCTACCACAAAGCAAATACCAATTATTATATAAAACACATTATTAAAAACTATAGAGTTTTACATTAAAATATGGATTTATTTTTATTATTATTTATCTTGGTTTCCTTGATTACCTAATTGTTGTGACCTGTGTCTCATTAAAAGTTGGTATTATATTTACTTTATGTTAACATTTATGATGTGATGTTTGTTTTGTGTGTTTTAGTATGTGATTATATCAATAAATATATTTTTATTTTTAATCTGTGAACAAAAAACTGGAATTTCAAACAATATTTACTGAGTTTGACAATAGAAATTTAATTGAATTTCATCATTTGAAAAGAGCAAATTAAATGAGGTTTTTTTCAAATTGTACCACACACAATATACATGTAACAGTAAGGAATTTGCTTGGATATTTTTCTTTCATTGTGCTACAAATTATGAAACCATAGAGGATGATAAAACCACGGTTCTTGTCTTCAATTGAATTTGCGACGATGATAATTTCAAATTAGTGCATGAAACTGATCCTCGGGAGAAAATTGAAAGCAACACGGGCGTATTTGTTTACCGTGGTATAGCCGAGGTTTGTTTTGTGAGTGGAGGTTGTTTACCCAGCCAAATGGCCTGCCGAGTGTATCATTGATGTACCCAGCTTCCACAACAAAGAAAAGCATTCACAGCTGTCATCTTATTTGTGAAGAGCCTAGCAATAAAGTAATATCACATCTTGGTCCATCATGAATATGTTCATGTACACAGTGCTATATTTAATTCTCCATTGAGATATGTTATTATACTGGCTGCCAGATTATAAGTATTCTTTAGTACATCTCTAAAAAAATTTGTCTAGCATTTGATGTTAAACACATTCAAATCAAGTATTTTTTCTGCATTTTAAATATAAAAAATATGTAAATAAATAATTAATACATAAAGAAGCCAGTAGATTTAATTATTATTGCTGTAATTTTTCTCAAAAACAACTCCACAATATGTTGTCTTAAAATACAGGGTCCCACGTGGCAAGCAGCTAGATAGGAGTAAATATATTTTAAAAATATAGTTGTTTAAAAATAAGCTATTAGTACTTCTTCCATAAGATGCTTGTGAAGCCTAGCATATTAAATAGATGGACTGCCAAGTCCCCAATAGCAATGTCCAGGGAGATACCTAGGGGCCATTTTAAGTTTAGAGTGTATATGGGCATTTTGGGGTGGTAGAGCTAAACCACAAAAGTTATGGTGTTTTTTTAGGTGTTATATCCTTCCAAAATTACCATCATTTTTTTTGTTATCACTTTTTGCTTAATTTTTCAACTTAGTCGTCTGGGCATACTGACTCTTGCCCTCATCTGTCGTTCTCCCCACCCTCTCCTTTTTTTGATACTGTACTCCTTACTAGTGTTGATTCAGTGGTCTATGCCATATAGTACTCTAACTAATGTCAACAGACAATGCCTTGTCTTCATCTAGAGAAGTGGACTGTGCCATACCTGACTGTACTGCCAACACCTTTTCTTCTGTTTAAATTCAGTTGATATGAAACCTCTGACAATTTGTAAACATTTTCTTGACTATTGCTCAAGAACCCTCTTATTCCCAGGCCCCTTGAATTTGAGTCCAGATTTATAAAGTACCAGTTAAACAACCTTCAAAGTAAGCTACCCCTCTAATTGATGATCAAACTCTAAGACCCACCTCACATTTTTGTGGTCCAAAAGATAGTCTTAAAGGTGGTCCTAAAGGTAGTATTGAATTTGAACTGTATCTTGCCCACCATTCATTCATTGATTCATTTAGCTATCTTAGTTTGTTTTGAAAAAAAAATCAGTGTTTTAGAATTGTATATTGTGTCTTATCCTTCTTTACTGACTTCAAATATTATTAATATGTTTGTTTTTGATAGGCAATTGCCAAATTTATCTAAAATGAATCATTTTGATATTTGATATTAAGTGGATTAATGTTATTTCTTTTCTGTTCTTTGATTTTCTCACATATCTTACTAATTTGCTCATGGTTTTTTTTTAATCAGGCTAAACTGAAGTACTCCTTGGAGAGAAGTTGGAGGGAAGAGGTTTTCCAGAAAAGCGTTGTTTTCCCTCTCAGCCTGGATGTGTTTATTTCCATAAACTTACATGAAGTAAACACTGAGAAGCCTAACGGGCCTTGTGTGGAAATTGGATTGGGGTGAGTACATGATAAACCTCCATGGGCTCCATCGGGAAAATGAGATCCTGTTGTTGTTTTGTCACATAGAGTACAAACAGATCAAAAGGGGATGTTCGAAGGAATATGTATGAAAACATCCATGAAAAACAGTCACCAAAATGGGTGTTAGTTTGTGTCTACTTCATTTATTAACTAAACAATCTTGAACATACAATTTTGTTTATATTGTCGCTAAATTTAGAATATCTTTCTAAATGGCTTTTTTAGCTCTTTGTTTTGGTCCCTGGCTATTCGATGCAGAAGGTGTCATTAGGATTTGGTCATGTGATTAGAAAGCTTTGACTGAAATTACATGTCTTTGCTTTTTGTGCTGTTTATATTTCCTGCTAAGCTGTTATCATTGGAACTTCTAGCTATCAGCAATTTCCATGCTTTGTTTATTTGCTTGGCTAGAAATCAATAAAGTGACAGGGCCTTGTTTGTTGGCCCCTGTAAACATCTGCTGTAACCCATCATTATCTCCATAGCAACATAAATTGTTTGCTGCTGAAAGTAAGAACATACTGTTGTCGGTAGACAAAATTAGATCAATTGGTAATTGCATAAATTATGGAAGATGACCTGTTGTTAATGTGTTAAGATATGTGAACTATAAGAAATTTATTTAATACAATAGTAGACACTATTGGATATAATATGTAATTAAAACATTAAATTAAAATTATGGAATTGGTCATTTAAATACCAATACCTACATGCCATGTGTGTGGTAGCTGACTTTCTGAAGTAAAAAAGCAGTGCCCATCCTTTTCTTTTAAAAAAAAAAAAAAAATCAAAACCAGGATGCGAAATCATGTTTATTTTATGGCATAGTTAGATAAACTAGATATATTACCAAGAGATAGTGATCATCGCTTATGAACACTAAGGTATGCACATCAGAGGGGTAGGAAACTTAGCAGAAGTATACTTCAGTTTTGTAGACACAAAATGGTAAAAATTATGAGGTAGCCACTTTGTCACTGGATATAAATAATAATTAATTTTATCCTATGCTTATTTTTATGATTAGAAATTTATAGCGAATTATTAGCATCAAGGTAATGAATAATTTGTGTAAACTTGTGCGAACTTGTAAATCGTAAACGCAGGTTAGATGTAAAGTCGCTGGAACTTGCGCATCAATTTTTTCTACTTAATAATTTGTAGCTGCATAGGGGACCTGCCTAAGGCCATACAGTACTAGCTACTAGGCTGGGGGAACTTGTAGGATCCTGTTGAAAGATAGTAAGTGCAAAAATGTGTTACAGTGATGCATTTGATTTTTTTGTAAACATTCTGCTCCTTAATGGGATCAGCTAATTTGAGGCTCATGGTCCTGCAGAAGAATATGCTGATTGTCATCCCAAGCCCCTTTAAATCCGGGGTCCCGGGTGTTGGCCAGCTATGGGCGTTACTGTACACAGTGGCGGCTCTAGGATATATTTTCTGGGGGGGGGCTAAGTTGTCCGACAGTGGAGACTTGAGCTCGTAGGCTCCAGCTGGGAGAAGGGGTCGAGAGGGGTTACCCCTCCCAAATGAGATTTTTTTAAAGAATTTCAACCTATAGATGGCCGAAAATGGCACTCTAGACTGTGACAGACATGTGTTGGCTTGGTGTGGGCCTATTTTTATATGTTTTATGGTCTGAATGCCCGACAAGCTCTGTCCGGCGGGGGTGGGGGGATTGACCTGTCTGGTGGGGGGGCTTAAGCCCCCCTGCCACCCCGCTGGCGCTGCCACTGACTGTACAGTATACCACTCTGCATTTGTAATACAGGGATGTTGGCAAATGCTGTAACAGTGGACACAAAAAGAACAGAAGCAACAACTTGCAACGCGCAATTCGTATAGCAAGCCCATTAATCAACGAACCATGTTTATTTGTACAAAAATTGTTTATTGTTTATCTGCCAGGTAAGACAGAATGATGTAGACTTGTTTATTGGTGTTGACACAATCGTTCTATTGCAATAATTATTTCTATTATGCATTTGTTTATTACTTTGTATACAATACACAAGATACAAATTTCATGTACAGTAATCAGGGGTCCCAAGTTGAAAGAAGTTGCTTTCGTGAGACCTGGTTTTTTAAATAAGCGTTCTTCACATCTGATTGTAGTTTACTGCCACGTGTGGTGATAACTCATAAGCTGCCGCTGTTAACAACTGACCAATCAGAATTGGGCCAGGAATAAGCTTGCGTCTAAAAAGCACACGTGTTTTCCCACAGACGCACATGTGTGCGTATGCTTTAACGCTGTCATTTTTTGGGACCTTAGCAACAGTATCCAAGGAAGGAATGGTGGGACCTTAGCAACAGTATCCAAGGAAGGAAGGATGGGACCTTAGCAACAGTATCCAAGGAAGGAAGGATGGATGGATTTATTTGGTGTAAACACCAATGATAACTAAACCACGAAAGCCTGAAGAAGACTTACTTCCAGTGGGGTCCTTCTGGTGGTGATCGGGCAGTACACCGGGAGATAATCCCTAGTCTTTTCCGAAGAGTGTACTGCGTTTTTAAACATGAACATGGGCCACATTGCACATAGGACCTGGACCAACAGCTTATTGAAAGTCTCATCTGAAAGACGGTACTACTCTGTTGTAATTTGCATTTCAGCTCTCAGCTGAAATACAAGGAAAGCAGCAATGAGAATTGAACCGGTGACAGATCTCCACAGTTCAGCGCACATGCAGTGGCTACCACCAGTTTAGCCGACTGAGCTAAGCTGCTCTCAATGAGGGGTGGGGTTTAGCAGAAAGGTCAATTGTGGGCCTGCCATATAGGTGCGAACATAATCGTTCTAGGCCTACTACTATGTGCAACATAAGATGAGTATTATAGTGGCAGCGAAATATGGATTCACAATAGCACATCTTTATTTTGAGCATTAACTTGCAGTGTGAACATATCTCTACATGGACCTACTGGATTTTGCAATTTTATTTAATTCAAAGTTAAACGAAAAACAATTAAAAATAAAATATTTTTCTGTGAGACCTATTATTTCCTTAAATGTTGGCATATGTTGAAGAAAAATATAGTGCAGATAAAGATTTGGTTTTTTTTTCCTATTTTTTTAAACTAAAAACTTCATATGAATTTTTACCTCAGCCTCAATTTGTTATTATTTTTTCTTAATTTTTAGGCAATTTCAGCCTCAGTGTTCTTATAAAATGTGTTCTTATAAAAATAAAAAAAAGTGTACTCAAAAACCTACAAACAGTACCTGATCTGTACCTTATTTGCAGTAGGTGTGACTATGTAATCCTTATACAACAGTAACTGGGTATTATGCAATAATAATTTCCTATCTTTTTAAAGTGTGTAAAATAAGAACAAAATAAGAACATTTTGAGCCTGAAGTCAACAGAAAAATTAGAATGCCGATCCTCGGCGAAATTCTACTGATCCTTATAAAAAAAATTGTGTATCCACAGTTACTGTAGTTTTCATTTTTTAGTAGTGTCAGTCTATTGCCTCATGTTTCCCAGCATATTCTTGTGATAATTAGATAGTATCAGCAATTAATCACTTGTTGTTTAATTTCAATCAAAAAATATTTTGGGAGGATGGTACCTTTCGCAGGCTGCAAAAGAATGTTATTTTTTATTCTAATTGGTTATCATGACTGTGATACTGTAGTTAATGTGGTCAGTCCTTTTTCTTATAAGCCTACCTACATGGGAGATCGTGGTAATATGTAAAGTATTTTAAACAAGTGATTTTAAAATTTTTACTGGACCAGTAATATTGTTAACATTAATTTTTCCTTTCTATTAAAATACGAGCATCATTAATTTTTCTGCAAATTTGCAAGTCTAAAGAAAAAGGGGGTGCCAACCCGAAACTAAAGGATGAAGGATGAGACGAACAAATGTTTGGGGCGGGGGGAGGTGTTAAAAATAGTGTTTCCATTCAACCCTTCTGGCTACAGGCTTAACAGATCTAATCAGCCAATCACAAACAAGTTTAGTTTCAGTAAGTTTTCTATAGACAAGTGGTTTTATAATAAAATTGGTATAGACCATGTAAAGAGTGTTAACTAATGGTTTCCATCTCACCAGAGACCTGTTTCACATAGGCCTAGCTCCTTTGCTACCAATCAATCAACTAGTCTATTGCTTTGACATTGTGTGTAGGTCAGGGCAGTAGTATTCTAAACAATCTTTATAGGTTTCTGTTTTGATGTGAATGTACAGTAAACAAAATAGTTTCTTTTCTTAACTTGTGTAAACAAGTGTTATACTTCTTTAAATAACAGCGTAATTTGTATCAGGGGACTTGCTAAAGATATTGCTGATATTTTCTAATCTAAAGATAAGCTGCCAATGGATTAAACTTATTGGGAAGGGATTAAACTTTTTGATTTCAGCTCCACGTATGATATTCTAAGTTTAAAATGTTCCGAAAATGATGTATAAACAATTAAACATGCTGTCTGTTCCAAGCTAATAAACAACCAATAAAAATTCAGTATTTGAATGGCATTGTATATAGGTACTAAAAATTGAAAATTAAAAGATCAGTATAGTTTGCTCACCAAATTAACACAACAGACATAATAATAACAAAATATACGTGTTTATAAAGTAGAACATATGGCTTTTCCTCATTGATGTAATGAGAAATGATTATGAAGATAATAAAAATGCATACAAAATTTGACATTGCTGAGACTCGGGCTGCAATGTTAACAGTAGAATTAATGCGTAGACAGTGAAGGTACGCGCAATGCTACAGTGAATGCTCAAAGCTGAAGCTACCCATTGGTAATGACAATTTCTTTTTGTAAAGAAACTATATTTTCTAATTTTTTGTATTTAGGCCAAAATAATATTTGTAAAAAAAGAATTTTCTCTCTGTTAATACTTGGCAATCTTCCGATAAATCGGAGAAATCATATTGATTTGAGTGGGTGCTTGCATTCTATTGCCCTTTGTTGACCTTTTTCAGTCTTAAGCCGAATG